TCTCTTCTCTTCTTCCCCAGGCTCTTCTCCCAAACCCCCAGGAATTGCCAAAGTCAGAGCTGGCAGCCCTAAATGCCAGTCACTGGGAACACACAGAGTTGCTGGAGCTTAGCCGGGGTTGGCGCTGTCCTGTGGCCAGCTGCAAACAGCCTCCTCCGGACATGGAGTCCCCTCCCGTGTGCACACATCGTATCATAATCAATACGCACAACTACTGTTGCCGTGCGACAGCGGCGTGCACTAAAACGACCCCGGCCGGACCTCCAGAACCTGTCCGTGGCAAAGGCACAGTCGCTCCATCACCACACCAAGAAATCTCATTGTGATTCTTTAAATAGAGTCAGATGGGTCACCGTGTTGGTCTGAAGTAACAAAACAAAAGGTGTGGCAACAAAAAAATTTTTAAATTCTGGGTGGAAGCTTTTGTGTGCACTCACACTTTGAAGAATTGTATATACACATGAAAGCTTATACCCAGAAGTAAACTTATCACCTTTGGATCGTACGGTAAATCATATCCTGTAAGGGTTTGAATGTTAGAAATGATCTGCTTCCAGTAATCTGCTACTAAAGGACTTGTCTTAGGGTGAGAGTTTACCTGTGTTTTCAAGCATTTGAAGTTTAGTTAGACATAATGGGTTGCGCAGCCTTTTAACCTGATAGGGCTCTCAGTGTCATCAACTGAATAACATTTATTTTTTGTTTTTCTGTAGTTTTGTTTAATGTTATTTCTTTGTACTTAAGTGTATTACGATGAAGTTCCAAATTTAATAAACAGATATTTTTTAAAAAATAAAATAAAAATGAAAGCTTATACCCAGAAGTAAATTTTGTCGGACTTAAAGGTGCCACCGGAGTCAAGCTTTCTTTCATTAGAAAAGAGCAGGAGTCCAGTAGCACGTCAAAGACTGACAAAATTGGTGGCTGGGTCGGAGCCTTTGTGAGTCACTGCTCACTTCTTCAGATATAGCTAGAATGTGAGTCCATCTGTCCTATATATTGGAAGGCAGAGTGATTTCAGATGCAAGAGAACGGATACTCTTAGGGGTCAGCAACTGAATGTCCTGGAGGGTTAAAATGTCTCCCCCCCCCTTTTTAATGTTGTGGTTTCTAATGTCAGGGTTATGTCCATTAATTCTTTGTTAAAGGGACTGGCCTGCTAATGTCCTTTGACACCTGAAGCCACTCTGCTTTCCGATATACAAGACAGATGGACTCACACGTTCCAGCTGAACCTGAGGAAGTGAGCAGTGACTCACGAAAGCTCCTCCCCTGGCACAGATTTTGTTAGCCTTTTGCTCCTGGACTCTGCCTCTTTTCTCCTGCTACAGACAAACATGGTGACCCATCTTGAATGGTTTCATTATAATTCTTAGAACTGGGGAGGAGAAGAAGGGGGGAGGGGGGGAGTTTATATTTATACCCCACCCTTCAGAGTGGCTGACAATCTCCTTCCCTTCCTCTCCCCACAACGGACACCCTGTGAGGTAGGTGGGGCTGAGAGAGCTCTTTCGAGGACTGCCCTTGAGAGAACAGCTCTGAGAGATCTGTGGTTTGCCCAAGGTCGCCCAGATGGCTTTATGTGGAGTGGGAAATCAGTTCTCTGAGATTAGAGTCTGTGCTCCTAACCACTACACCAAACCGGTAAGCTTGCTTCGCCCACTGGATCCCAGTCCTTACAAACAACAGCCCTGTGATGTAGACCAATACCACTCCCCGTATTGCAGGGAAAGGAACCTGCTAAAGAGAAACTTCTGCTGGGCTGCCCCTATGATCTCCTCTCCTCTCCTCTCCCCACCCACCAAACCCTGGTCCTTCACACCCTCATCTCCTGGTAACGTAAGAACCTAAGAGAAGCTAATGCTGGATCAGGCCAATGGCCCATACAGTCTAACACTCTGTGTCACACAGTGGCCGAAAAAACCAGGCGCCATCAGGAGGTCCAGCAGTGGGGCCAGGACACTAGAAGCCCTCCCACGGTTGCCACCCCCCCCCCAAAGCACCAAGAAGACAGAGCATCCCTTGCTCCAGACCGAGAGTCCCTATCTATACCTTGTGGCTAATAGCCACTGATGGACCTCTGCTCCATATGTTTATCCAATCCCCTCTTGAAGCCGTCCATGCTTGTAGTCCCCGCCACCTCCTGTGGCAGTGAATTCCATGTGTTAATCACTCTTTGGGTGAAGGAGTTCCTTTTATCCGTCCTAACCCGACCGCTCAGCCATTTCATGGAGTGCCCACGAGTTCTTGTATTGTGAGAAAGGGAGAAAAGTACCTCTTTCTCTACCTGCTCTAATCCACGCATAATCTTGTAAACCTCAATCATTTCACCCCTCAGCCGTCGTTTCTCCAAGCTAAAGAGCCCCAAGCATTTTAATGCAGAATCGCCCAGTTCGGATTTTATTAGATTGTTTTTTATTGAATGCTTTTTTGTACACAAGAAGAGCTAAAAAATAAATATGTTATTACAAAATAGTTATCTGCTACTGATCACACACATTCACTCACACACATCCCCCCCCCAGAGGCAAGAGAGAGCGCCAAATACTCGGGGTGCTGATCCTGATGGGATCCCCTCCCCGCCGCGGCCCCTCTGCTCCTGGGATGGTGTGTTGGGTGGGAGAACATATAGCACCTTGGAAGAGAGATCGTACCCTGTTGGAGGGAGGGAAAGGCACGCTCCCTCCTCCCCCCACTGCAGGCGACACTTGGAAGGATCCAGGGGAAGGGGCGGGACACACGGCTGCAGCTGTTCTGGGGCGCTGGAGCAGAGGTCCAGGCGAGGGAGCGGAACCCAAAAGCACTCAAGACCAAAACCCAACCGCTGACCAAGAGGCAATCCGCAGACTGCAACACCTGCTCTGCCTTCAAGACTATTTGGCAGTGATGTGGAGCGGAAGTGGAAACGGGAGGTACCTGCAAGCCTTCAGAGCCCTTGCCTCGAGACTGGGAACACAGTCCACGTCCCATGGACACACCCACACGTGCCTCCTTGAATTGCAAGAAGACTTCTAAAGAAATCCCCAAATGCTCCAGCGGTTTCTCCACTTGAATAACCTGGCCGAAAACAACCCCCTGCAGGCTGTGGAAGGTCAGTAGTTCAGCAGTTCGAGACCCGAGTGTGCCGCATGACGGAGTGAGCTCCCATCTCTAGTTCCAGCTCCTGCCAACCTAGCAGTTCGAAAGCAAGAAATTGCAAGTAGATAAATAGGTACCACCTCAGTGGGAAGGTAACAGCGTTCCGTGCGCCTCGGTGTTTAGTCATGCCGGCCACATGACCATGGAAATGTCTTCGGACAGCGCTGGCTCTTCGGCTTGGAAACTGAGATGAGCACCGCAACCCTGGAGTCGGATTCGACTGGCTTTTGAGCAAGGGAACTTTTACCTTTACCTTTAAGATACTCCTCACGGCCCCTTTTCTCTCTCGGCCTTGTTTGGAACTTTCCTCTTGTAAAGTAGGAAGTTGAACGTTTTCTCCCGCTTTGTGTTTTTAAACGTGGGAGAGTAAATTTGGATGTCACAAGCTAGCCCGATCTGGTCAGATTGCGGAAGCGGAGCAGGGTCAGCCCTGGATACCACTTGGATAGGAGACCGCCCAGGAAGTCCAGGGTTCCCATACAGAGGCAGGCAAGGGCAAACTGCCTCTGAACGTCTCTTGCCTCAAAAACCCTAGGAGGGGTCGCCAGAAGTCGGCTGCAACTTGACGGCAGTCGCCGCTACCGGTAGAGGCTTCTGTGACCTGGGCAGCCCAGGCTAGCCCCATCTTGGAAGCTAAGCAGGGTCAGCCCCAGTTAATACTTGGATGGGAGTCCACCAGGGAAGTCCCGGGTTGCTACGCAGAGGCAGGCAAGTGGCAAACCAACTCTGAATGTAAAGCCAACGTAGGGTAAAGGTCAAGGTTTCCCTCGCTCGAAAGCCAGTCGGATCCGACTCGAGGGATGCGGTGCTCATCTCCCTTTCCAAACCAGAGCCGGCGCTGTCCAAAGACATTTCCGTGGTCATGTGGCCGGCGCGACTAGACGCCGAGGTGCATGGAACGCTGTTCCCACTGAAGTGGTACCTATTTATTTCCTTGCAACTTCTTGCTTTCGAACTGCTAGGTCCGCAAGAGCTGGGGCCGGAGACGGGAGCTCACTCTGTCATGCGGCACTAGGGTCTCCAACTGCTGAACTACTGACCTTCCGGTCTGCAGTTCGGTGTCTTAACCACTTGAGCCGCCGCAGCCCTCTAAAGCCAGCATAGGAACCTTCAAAAAGAGACTTGCTAATAATATGTTTCTTTTGCTTTAAAGAACTGGGTTTGTGAGGAAAAGGAGCAGGCTCCCCTACAACTGTTTCCCACCCCCCACCCCAGCAATATTTCCAGGTCAGGACGGGGGAAACAGGTTGGCAGTTCCCTGGCAGGTGGGGTGTGGTCTATGGGAAAGCTAAGCAGATTCCAACCCCCCAGCAGACTGTAGGGTGGCTCCTACGGGGTGACCTGAAGCCGCCTTTCACCACTGGCCCACCTCATCTTACAATGCCTTCTCTGACTGGTGGTGATCAAGGCGGGGGGAGAGGGGGCGCTCCTTACAGCTGCTCTGTGTAATGCTTGGAGCGCACCCAGCACCAACTATGTCCCTCAGCTGTGACCCCTCTCACAAGAGGCTGCATGATACAGTCTCCACCCTGCAATTCTAAAAAAGGTAAAGGTCTCCCTTGCTCGAAAGCCAGTCGAATCCGACTCTAGGGGGCGGTGCTCATCTCCATTTCCAAGCCGAAGAGCCAGCGCTGTCCGAAGACGTCTCTGTGGTCATGTGGCTGGCATGACTAGATGCTGAGGCGCACGGAACGCTGTTCCCACTGAAGCGGTACCTATTTATCTACTTGCAATTTCTCGCTTTTGAACTGCTAGGTTGGCAGGAGCTGGGGCCAGAGACGGGAGCTCACTCCGTCACGTGGCACTCAGGTCTCGAACTGCCGAACTACCGACCTTCCAGCCTGCAGCTCAGCATCTTAATCACCTGAGCCACCACGGGCCCGAAATTCTAGCAGACACCAAATTCCATTCCCAAGAGTCCCGACTGTACCTAAACCACATCAATTGCCTCAAGTCGTTGGTCAGAGCTGGTGATGCTGGAACTTGGCCCCGAGTTACCTTGGTCCCCAAAAAAGAACAGCGGAGTAAGCAGCCCGTGGCGCCAGAGAAGAAGAAGGAGGGGACACATGTAGGGGGGGGGGGGTGTCGAGTGGGTGACTCTGGAGTCAGCCTTTTCAAGTGAGACTTTGGTTCTGGACCCTTCAAAGGCAAAGAGGCAGACTACAGTTGGCAGGGGGGTGGGGTGGGGAGGGAATGTAGTGTTAAAAAAGGGAGCTATTGGGGGAAAGGCTTTTATACAAAAGGAAGTTTAAAAAAAAATGCGAACCAACTTAACCTTGAAAACATCATGTTTTTTTTTAAAAAAGGTGTTCTTAAAAAAAAAAAACTTGTTCAAAAACCCAAACAGAATTCCTACCTTCATTGATACCGGTTTTGTGACCATCGAGAGGAGGAAAAGGGAGGGGGTATCCGAAGTACCAAAGATCAACTTCTCACCCCCCTCCCCCCCCCAGCTTCTTGAGACGGGAGGAGGAGGAGACAGTTAAAGCGGAAGTCCTGCGACGGATAACTAAGTAAGGCAAAGGGGGCCCTCCCTGATCACAACAACCCTACAGAGGCCCGGCCGTGTGACAGAAGAAGGAAGAGACAGGCAGCTGTGGTGTGTGTCCAACATCCGAAGGCCGGAGGGATCTGGTACCGGAAGGGTGGGCGCGGGGCCCCGGCAGCCCAGGAGGCCAGAATCCAGAATCCACTGAGGTCATTCGAAGTCAAGGCAGACAGGAAATGGGAAGGCAGAGGTCACGTGATTCCAGAGACCTGAGTCACACGATTAAAGAGCGGCCAAGCGGGCCTTTGGGATATTAAAAAAAAGAGCAGAGAGGCTCAAGATACAGAGGCTGAGCCAGTCGAAGGCGATTAACTGAGGACCATCGGCCAAGCGGTCTGAGAGGGCAGTGGAAGCCACGCGTGGCACGCCACTGCATGGAGGCAGGCGCCTCTGCTGGCCAAGGACGGAGCTCGCCAGGCTACTTGGGGTGGCCGGAGCTCTAAGGCAAAACCGGAGGCCGGGGTGAGGCACAGGACAGGGGTACTGGAAGAGTGGGTGTGGGTGTGGGTCAGGTAACCTCAGGGCCGTGTCCCTGGACACGAGCGAGCGAGTTTTTGGTCAGCCTGGGAGATGCAAAACCTCCATGGCTGGAGCCCACAAAGTGCAGGCAGGAGACTTCGGGTGGGGAGCAGGGGGCGGGGAGCAGGGGGCGACCCCCGCGTCACATCACGTCAACGAAAAACTCGCTGGGGTTGCCCATGGCCATGTGGAACGACTGGCGGCTGGCCGTCAGCTCGGGGGGCACGGAGCCCAGGTCACGCACCGGGGGAGCCCCGGGAGGCTGCACGGCCGCCGCAGCAG